AGAAACTTGATGGGATGAAACCCATGATTGGAACATACTGGTAGAAGGATACAAACTCTTCAAAAAAACCAGACCCCATAAAAGAGGAGCTGGAGTTGCACTGTATGTAAAGGACCACTATATTGGTGCCGAAATGCATGAAACCAGGGATGGGATTCTACCAGTTCGCACTATTCGCTAGAACTGGATGTTAACATTCTAAGCAGTTTGGAGAACCGGTTGTTAGAAGAAATTACTGGCCTAATCCTGTAAGGAAGACAGGAAGGAAACATTCTGGTGTTGCTTACAGAAACTGCCTCTCTGTTAACTCTTATTACATTCTTGGCAGGACTGGACTTCCTATCTCAAGAATTTCTCTAGAGGTTCCCCCCCCTTGCCCCCTTGCTGGTACTTTGCTTGTGTGATGTGACCATTTAAAGTTACAATGGCACTGAAAAAAGTGACTTATGACCATTTTTCACACTTACAACTATTGTAGCATCGCCACAGTCATGAGACACCAGGTGAGGAGATGTGTGCCTCAATGTGAATGACATTGAGTTGGCCACACCCAGCCAATAACGTGACCACCAAGTCATGTCCACCCAGTCACATGACCACCAAGCCACTCCCACCAACTAAGCCACGCCCATAGAACTGGTTGTTAAAAAATTTGAATCCCACCCCTGCATGAAACCAAAGATGAAAACTTCCTAGAATGCATATGGGTCAATATAAAAAAAAAATGACATGGCCATAGGTGTATATTATAGCTCACCCGATCAAGTAGAAAAAATAGATTCCCTTTTTGCCAACCAACTGGCAAACATGCAAGAAACACACAACAATAGTAATGGGGGCCTTCAATTATCCTGATATCAACTGGAAAACTAATTCTGCACCAAGTGAGAAATCAAATAAGTTCCTAACCAACCTCGCTGACAACTTTGTTGTCCAGAAAGGTAGAGGAGAGAACTAGAGGGACAGCCATACTGGACTTAATTCTTACAATTAGAGAAGACGTGATAGAGGGAGTTGGAACTGCAGGAACCTTGGGTGAGAGTGACCATGACATACTAGAATTCAACATAATGCAAACACAAGCAACAGAACATAATGACACCAGAGTCTTGGATTTTAAAAGAGCTGATTTTAATAAACTCAGAGAGAACTTGGGAAAGATTCCATGGATGAAAATCCTAAAGGAGAAAACAACTCAAGAATCTTGGGAATCTCTGAAAAGTGTGATCATAGAAGCCCAGACCAGCACAATACCACTGAGAAAGAAAAACAAGAAATCCAAGAATAAACCAGCATGGCTACACAAAGATCTCTTTGGCAAATTGAAAGGAAAAAAGAACAAGTACAAAAAATGGAAAGAAGGACATACAACTAAGGCAGAATATCAGCAGATTAAATTTTTGTCCACAAGATGGCACTTTCCGTTATGCAAACTCTTCACCTTTTTTCCCTGTTTTATTATTCAGGGCTTTTCGAGCCTTGATATTCCAGTATGATCAAAATCTCCAATTTGTAGATTCCCCCCCCCCACTTTTTACACTCTTAAGTCCAGGGGGCTGTGCCCCATTTTGGCTGGCAGAGTGCTGCAGGAGGCCATCCAGGCCGAAAATGGGGTGTGCAAAAACGGGGTGCCCGTGGTCCGTTTTCGCTAGCAGAGGTACCATGGGCTGGTCTTTTGCTATTTCCAGGCCAGCTCCATGGTCCGGATCTAAGCACCCTGCAGGCCGGATCCAGCTCATAGTCCTTGAGTTTGACACCCCTGGCCTAGACAGTCACTTGTCTGAAATGGTATAGGTGCTCCTGCTTGATCAGGGGGCTGGTCCCTTCCAGTTCTATTCTATTCTATTCTATTCTATTCTATTCTATTCTAGCCCTAAGCAAACAGAAGCTACACAATGTTTACATCGCCCAGCATTAAATACATATTTCTACAACTTTTCTGCTAGTTATGTGCAGTTGTTTACATATTCCAAATAAGAAAATAATTAATATGGCAGGTACAGAAATTTGGTTACCCTTTCATTCTGTACTCTACAACACCGCCTTTGCCAGAATTAACAGCTTCCAAACTTCCATATTACTAAGAATTATTTTGTTCTTGATTTTGGAATCTTTTCCCACAAACAAGAAGAAGTTGAAGCTGAAAAAAAGGGAGCATATTTCAGCAAGACAATGAGCCCAAATATATATCCCGATTGGCCATGAAATACAGCCCTTCAGATGTGGGAGTTAACTATTTTGGAATGGCATTTGCCTTCCCAGATCTGGGGATTACTAAAACTCTAAGTTTAGTGCCTGCAAGAAGCAATAAAACTATTTTGAGCAAGAAGAATTCTGCAAGAAACTTTTGCTCACCAAAGTAGCAAGTTTTGAAAGTAATAATAATGAGGATAATGTGTGTAACTATGGAGCAACTAGAGGCCATGCCAGCTGTCCGTTTTGGAAGCCAAATTAGTACCAGAAGCTCCTACACTGCCACATTCCTGTGCCTGGGAAAGTCGGGGGGGGGGGATTTTTAGAACGTTGGTAGTTAGACATAATAGCATTCTTCTTTTTGGTCAAAGTCGTGTTATTCCTGCACCTGGAGGAGGAGCGGTTGAAGGGATGTCTCTAGCTGGGGTGGATAGTGATTGGACCATGCGATGGACTGATGGGTGCAGGGGTTGGTTTTGCACTTTTGAATTACTAAGGGAAAACCTGTAATTCTCAGATTCCGGGTTTTCCCAGATGTGCCAGTATAACTACTCTAATAAAAGGAAACTTTGAGAAAATGCCTGTCTCAGAGTTTTAAATTGGAGTTGGGTTTTTCTGGAACCCTGACACTAACAGTTCATTGAAACATTCAATTTGACCAATTTTGTATACCACTGCACACTTATTTGGGATTAAACTCACTAATGCAGCCTAAACTAACATATAGAATTGTGCTACAAGTAGAATGAGCCACTGTTCACGGCACAGTTACTTGGCAGGGGATCTGAACTTTTATTGCAACAACAACAACAAAAAAAGAACATGAAATCTCCAGTGTCCTAAAATGGATGCAATGCCAAACATTTTCCTCTTTTGGTATTAGTATTTCAACTAAGGACTGGCTGTTGATATTATTTATGGAAATCAAGATTAATAAATAGTCCAGCAAAGAAAGGAGAGAAACGTTTACATTCCACAGGAGGGGAGAAATCTAGAAAATTTTTAAAATTTGGCGCAGCTATTTTGGGGCTTGGATTCCCGATAACTTCTCTTTTCTGCAATCCAGAAGGTCCTAGGTTCATCTTGCTACCCACACCTTCTTGTCCACTGAAGCAGAAAATGGGTCAATTTTCTCCTTCACCTTCCATTTTTTTCTTTTGATATTTCCTATAAAAGAATATTTACTTAATAACCACCATTTTAGCTGGTTGTAAAGCCCTGTATCCAAGTAAAGAATTGGGTATAAAGTATCCTCTCCTAATTACTGCAGAAGTCAATATTCTTTGTAATTAATTTGAAAATGAGAAATTCCATGCTTGGGTAAGGATTGTAATCCTTGCGTCTGTTTGTAGGCTCCACCAATATTATATCCATACTTCGTTATCCTGTAGAACATGGCGGTTACACCATCTTGTTAATGAGACTCCTGACAATCCTGTCCAGGATAATCCAATATTGTGATATTCCATTTCAGGATATACTGGGAACTTATACACAGATGTCCTATAGCAAAAATCTGGATGAATACTAGGGGGCAGCCAAGAACAACGGTTTTCAATACTTCTTGCATTTGTCTAGATGCTTGCAATCCATGAAGGAAAATGCAGTCAGGTTGGGATTGATTGTACAACTAGACTAGATCCCAACTAGACGAGAATCCAATTCATTGGATTCCCATCCATTGGAAAATTGGACGCAAGGCCTGGAGACCAAACAAAGGCCTGTTTCTGAAGCCATCATTCAAAGCTACAGTTACATCTGTGCACTGTTGGAGCCTCAACATTTTTAATTATGGTGTTGAAATGCTACATTTTAAATGTGAAATGTATACATTATAAGTACCATTGCACTCTCACTGGGCATTTTTCTTCCTCTACTGTCTGATTTGTTTTTCTAATCTTAAATAAAGTAATCACAGAAAACTGGGCGTGGGGTTACCAATCAGACCCTACTTACCAGCTCTTCTTTCCTTTCCCATCACTCCTAAGTCCAATCTCAGTGCACACACACACACACACACACACACACACAAATCAACTCTCTCCCAGTTGTGTTAGCCCCTTTCCTAAATCGGCACTGAGGCAGCATGACAAAGGTGTTTATGAACTTTTCAGAAGTCATTTAACTAATTTTAAAAACAATACAGCAGTATCTGAGTCAACTCATCATGAAAATGTCTACAGACACCACCAACCCCTTCCCCCATCCAGTTAGACCGAGAAGAATCAGGAAAGAATATCCCTGCTTTGCACCCTCTTAAGTGAAAATACTGGAAATACTGGATTCAATTAATAACACAACACTAATTTATTTCCAGAAAAGCGAAACAATTAATAGCTTCTAAATCTGTAAAGATTGCACCAGTCAGGATTGCATATCTACTTTCTAATGAAGTAAGCTAAGTTGCCTTAAATTTCATTTAGTCTTTGTCTAAAATTTCATTATTTTGTATCCTAGCTGGAAAACAAGTTGGAATTTGAAAGGGAAATCAATAGGACTATTTAACCCTTCTCTTCTCACTTCATCATTTGCATAATTAGCAAAATATTTGCAAGCATTGCAGATTTGATGAACTGGAACATAGTCATAAATTTGAAAGAAACAGACAATTACAAATGTTCTGTTCATACAACCAAATAATTAACCAGCCTCCGCACTGTTAAATTTTGGACACTTAGCAGACAGATCTCCACGGGATCCACGGGGTTGCTAAAGCAGCTCTTCTTTTGTGCAAACCTCCATTTCATTTTGCATTTCCCATTAACTGATTTTCAAAGCGCTTCACGAGAAAGTCACCAGCCTCTTACCTTGCTTTGGAGCCATTGAACTCAAATTTTCCAGCAAAGCCATATGTTTCCTTTGGAGTTGCAACATACTTTAAAAAGGCTTAGCAAATAAAGATGTGCCAAACTTATGCAAATCCTTCCAAAAATAAGAAGTATCTTATGAATAATGCAGGCTCAGTGTCCAAGTTGTGCAACGGTCTTTTTTAGCTAAACGAACTCCCACTCGTCTCGTCTTGAACTGCAGCCAAAGACTCTAATTTAAAGCAACTGTCAACTTTGCTATAAAGCTTTCAGAAGAAGTCCACACACACACACACACACACACACACACACACACACACAGCAAAACGGGCAGAAAATCCTCTTGGCTTCCAAACTAAGGAAATGGTTAAATACACTTTAAAATTGTAGCATACTGGGAAGTAAATCTCCCTGAAGTCCATGAGCCCAATTTTTTTCTGAGCACATAAATCTTAAATTATATTGCAAATCTAAGAGGAGAGATTTGCCTCTCCTCTTCCGGGCAATAACGTAGAACAATAATTGTGCATATTAATTGTTTAAATCAGGGAATTCCCCAGCCTCCAGGCTGCAACCCAGTACCGGGCCATGGCACACCCAGAACCAGGTTGTGGAAGTAATGCACAAGCGCAGGTGCGCACGTGCAGTTCTATTTGCATGAGTAGTGGGTGAGTGCCGCACACAGCTTCATTTGTATGATAGGCATGCGTACATGCCTGCTGCTTGCACAAATAGAGCTCTGCACACCACACACAAAACCATCCCCTCCCCCCTCCCCTGCTGACCCCAAAAGCCAGAAAGCTGGTTTAAATTATCTTATGTTAAAAAAAAATACACAAAAGAAGAGAATCTCTTCCACTTCTGGTGGAAGTGAACTGGGGGGACCAGAACAGAACCTGTGAGTGCAGCTCAGCTAAGGGCACTACCATGTTTCCCTGAAAATAAGACCCACCCAAAAACAAGCCCTAGCCTGATTTTTGGGGTGGGCCTAATATAAGCCCTACCCCAAAAATAAACCTGGGGGGTGGACATGGCCAACATGAGAGGCAGCAACTGCGCAGGAGTCAACAGTTTCTGGCTGCAGCCACTGCCCAGTGGCCCCTTGGCCCTGTGCAAATACGGTTAATTCCAAGGGTGCAGGTAGGAGGGGAGGAGACAGGCCACCTGGATGTGCTGTGCAGCTGCCTGACTCACGGGAGGTTTGTACAACAACACCGGCAGCAGGCAGAGGCCTGGGGGGTGGGGGAGGCAGGTGACTCTGAACGATCGGCACAGCTGCGGGCAAGCCAAGAGATGGTGGAACCGAGTGGGTGATACCTTGGGGTCGCCTCTGGTTCCGTCTGGCTCTGCTGCTCACTTTTCGCCCAGAGGGAAGTGAAGCTTCGTGTGCTTGCAAAGGGAATGCTTTGAAATGAACCTAATTACCTTGTTTCAAACTCTCCTCTTTGCAAGCACACAAAGCGTTGAATTTCTGTCATTTCTTCATCCGGGCAAAAAGTATTTGGTCCTCTATTAGGTGTTTGGGAATGGAACAAATCCCTGCTCTGACAGGCACCTGCACAGTGTTGGGATCACCTGCCCCGTCCATCCCCCCTGCTTCTGCCTGCTGCTGGTGTCACCACGAAAGTCTCCCCTGAGTCTCCCCTGAGTTAGGCAGCTGCACAGCACATCCAGATCTCCTGTCCCCTCCCCCCGCCTGTGCCCCCACACTCAGAATTAGGAGTGTTTGCACTGCATCAAGGAGAACAAGGCAAGCCGAGAGCTTGGCCCGTTGCAGCTGCGGCCAAGCAGACAGCGGGGATGGAGAGAACAGAGCCAGCAGTAGCTGTGCTCCTGCTCCCCTTGGCCCCCGTGCTCGCTGCCTCCCGCACTTAAAAAAAACAAGACCTTCCCAAAATAAGCTCAAGTGCTTATTTTCAAGCCCAAAAGAAAATAAGATAGAGTCTTATTTTGGGGGAAACATGGTAATTCATGACTGTCCAAGGTTTGTGGCTTTAAATTTTAATAGTGAAGTAGTAATCCCTTCCATTGGGTCGTTTCAATTGAGAACAGAGTAACTAATGGGACGGGAGAGTTAATTTCACTCCTTCTGGATCATAGCATTGCTGGTTGAATCAGTTGGACAGGACTTCTCAAATCCATCTACAGATTTTTTTACAAAACTTCCCTGCACTTCCATATTGTATGTGACCAAACTGAGATATGCAGCTTTTAATACAAAGAGGGTCCTCTTCGTCCCAAGGAAATTCTTTTTCAAGAGGTCCAGTTATGAAATAGCATAAGAAATTCAGATGGTCGGCAGCCAGGAAGTCAAAACCCGATAGAACAACAGAATAACAGAGTTGGAAGGGATTTAGAAGACTTAGAATAACTTTATTGTCACTTTCAATGTACACTAATCAACATACGTTAAAATGAAATTTCCTTGCATACAGCTCACAAAAAGTCACCCCCTCCAATATACACTACATAAACATGATGAAATAAATAAATAGATAATATTATGCATATGCATAATATTATATGACATATAATATTACATAGTCTAATCCAGAAGTATACATGTAGATGGCAAGAAAAACAAATCTTGTGAGTTTACCAGATGGATGGCATAGGGGAAAAAGTTGTTACAGAATCTGATAATCCTGCTAGAAATACTTCAAAACCTCCTTCCAGAGGAGAGCAACAGAAGCAGACCATGTGTGGGGTCTCTGACAATGCTTTGAGCTCTAAGCACATAACACTTATAAGCAGTATCCTGTGGCAGCTGAATTTCAAAGCTGACAGGCTTTGTGGATGCCTTACATCCTGAATAACAGAAAGCGAGCTTCCTATTATTTTCTCGACTGTCCTTATTACTTTTTGTATGGATTTTGTATCTGAGGCACTGCTGCCACCAAACCAAACAGTGATGCAGTTTGTCAAAATGCTCTCAGTCGTGCCTCTGTAGAAAGTGGCCAGGTGTTCTGACCCACGCCCTTTTCCAACAAATCAAACACAATCCAAAAGGAAAAAAACCTTGTAATGCTTTTGCAAAATAATTAGCTGTGATAAGCCACAAGCCTTGCCACACTGTGCAAGACTTGCCAAAAGATAACAGACAAGAAGTAATTTGCAATACAAGAATCTTCAAATACAAACTCAGGATACTGGAATGTCCACGAGGCTGGAGTTTCAAAACGACTTTGCCTTCTGCAAAGTACATTCGTTTCACAGCTGGCTTTTATCTTCTTGAAGATATTACCTTGCAGTCTTACTCCTGAGTCACCCGTGCTGTTGTAGCTGCTGTTTCCTATGAGCAATCCTGCGTGCGCGCACACTTGGAACAGGCTCCTTGGGAATCTCCTCATCACTGCTGCCAGCCCCCATAATCTCTGAAGGCAGCAGTCCACTCCCTAGGTCCTGGCCCCTCATCTGAGTCCTCACTCTCCTCAGCCGTCCGCACCTGCTGCTGGCTAACCACAACACTAGGACAGAAGGAGAAAGATATGTTCTCCTTATCCAACGCAGGAAATGTAGATGCTAGTTTGTACTGTTACTAAGAATGACATGTGGAGAGACCAGATCGTTAGTTATCTGTACCCCCAGATATTTAATACTGTTGACCACCTCTACAGCTGCATCCTTGAAACTGAGTGGAATATGACTATGCTAAAATCTACAATGATCTCCTTTGTTTTATTAACATTTAGAACCAGGTTACTTTTATTGCACCAATCCACCAGAGCTCTCACTTCTTCCCTATAAGCATTTTCACTATCATCCCAGATAAGACCCAGCACTGCCATGTCATTCACATACTTCACAATATGATTCATAGCAGATTTGGCACAACAGTCATGGGTCATCAGTGTAAACAGTAGTGGACTCAAGAAACAGCCCTGTGGGGAACTTGTACTCATGAGTATTCTACTGCTCCAGGTGTCCCAAGCTAAGATGAAGCATACAGGAAAGTGCAACATCTATGGAGTGGTTCTTCTGATAGGCAAACTGCAATGAGTCAAATGTAGGGGAAAGGCATGAAACCACGCAGTCCTTTACCAATCTCTCAAAACACTTCATCATAATGTAAGTGAGTGTAACTGGATAGTAATCATTAAGGTATGTTAATATAGTTTTGGGGGGGCACTGGTACAATTATTGCAGTCTTAAAACCTGATGAAACCATGGGCTGATGCAATGAGAGATTGAAGAAAATATCTGTGAGAACAGTGGCCAGCTGTTCAGCACGGTCCTTAAGTATTCAGGGATATTATCAGGACCCACAGCTTTTTGAGTATTGGCTTTCTGCGGGACCTTATGAACAGTTGTATCGAACCCGAGCACCTGCTTACCAGGAAGGAGAACAGCCTTCCTTGTTGGAATATTGTTTGTGACCTTGAACCATCCACAAACATACTGTGTTTCCCCAAAATATGACCTACTCAGAAAATAAGTCCTAGCTTGATTTTTACATGTGTGCCCAATATAAGCCCTATCCCCCCAAAATAAGCCCTAATTAAGATCGCCACCCACTCCAGGGTGCACAGATAAAAATTAAGCTAGGCTGGGGGTGGGGGAGGTGGGGCTGCCCTACTACTTACCTTTGGATAGTTGCAGCTAGGCCTCGCACACCTTGGCCCGTTTCTTCTGCAGCCAGCAAAGCTTTCCTGAAGGCCTTTCTAGTCGATAACAGAGCTCTGAATCGATCCGGAACTCTGTTATTGGCTGCAGACAAAGAAGTTGGACAAAGAAGTTTCTGAAGGCCTCTGATAGTGAAAAAGAGGCCAGGGGCAACACACACAAGTGAGGTGCATCAGTGGATGATATTCTGCCCCCAAAATAAGACCTGGTGCCTTTTTTGGTGGCAAAAAAAATAAATAAGACAGGGTCTTATTTTGGGGGAAAACATAGGTATTTAGCTTGGGTAGAGAATCCATGTTACCCTTACGTGTCAGGGAAGCTGCTTTATAGTCCATAATAACTCAAATACCTTGCCACATATCTCAGGTCCATAGGATCTTGAAAGAAATGCTGTACTTTCTGACAGCCCACTTTGCTGTTTTTATAGCA